TGCGTTTGGCTCTATGTGTTCCTAATGACGAGGCTCATGCCAAGCGTTAATTAAAACAGCATCTATGCAGGAAATTATATATCACGTTTTTTATGCACAAGCTCTTTCTCACGCGAAATTTGCCACAGCGAGAGACTGCATGAAATTAAATTATTCCAGCGAGGGTTCACTTTAGGCAGGCTTGATGCATATTTGACATGGCGTCTGCAGTTCAGGCTGTAACATCAAATATTCGAACGGTAGTTGACTTTGGACCTGCATTCTGCATGTTTGATCTTACGTTCACAGTTTACGCTGCTCTATAAAAATGAGGATTGACTTTAAGTAGGCATTCTGGCTTCTCATCTATAGTTTATGCTGCAATTTAAAATTTGTGTGAATTTTCGCAATGAGAGAACTCCATTCTGAATTCCTTAAATTTAAGCTCGAACGAAATATCTGGACGCAAAATTTTTATTCGTTAAAAAAAATTATGCCGGAAGAAAGTTGTTAATTAAAACTGATTCTTTATTTAGAGTGCTAAACTTTCCACACCCATATTACAAAAAAAACGAAGTTGAAATTATAAGTTTGCGTAACCATGAACAGGAAAAATGGAAAACATACAAATTTTCATGAGCTGAAATCATTGTATTCACGAAGAAAAAGTATCGCAGAGTTATTACGGAACTGCTGGGCCGGAGCGTATATCATAATTACTATCGCTTCATACAGTGAAAAATGAACCACTTTCACTAATACTCATCATTCAACTTTAATTCATGACTGGAAATAACATATGCTCAAATCATCGTCTGTTTAAAGTAATTTGTGCTCCTTCAAGCGTTTCACTTTGTTTAAAAAAAACTTTTATATTTTTAGCATCGAAATGCTTATATGGCTGTGAGCTTATCGCTAAACATACGCAAGCTCCTCGTCTAGAATAGCTTAAGAATATTCCTTGTACCCGACACGAGCTTGAGCAAAAAAAAACGAACAACTTGAGGATTCGTAATTGTGAAAATAAAATTTAAATTTTACTGAAATACGCTTGTTATTTAGTGGCGGCGATAGTTCTTGGTTTGCTGTGAACGTAGACATTGCCCGCGGTTGTTGATTGATCCACCGTCCCTGATTCCGTGACAGCGGACAGTCAGCCGCTGCCTGTGACAAGACGAGCTTTATGAAAAGACGCTCGTGTTACGCAGCTTATAATGAGCTATAAAAAACGCTTGCGCCACGCAAAAATGCCTGCGTTACGCAAAATGTAACGAACTATAAAAACCGCGCTCACGTTACGACAAACTGTAAAACGATGCCAGCGTTACACAGCATGTAACGAACTATAAAACGATGTTCACGTTACGTAGCTTTCAAGGAACTTTAAATAAGACGGTCGCTTTACGCAGCTTGAAATGAGCGAACTTTAAATAAGGCACTCGTGTTACGCAGCTTCTAGTGAACTATAAAATGCTGTTCGTGTTAACGAATTACCGGGAAATGGATAGCACTTCTCCGGCACACTGATGGCGAGCCTGAATATTTTCAATGCACACAATGTAGGCCGTTCATTTAGATGAAACTGCACTCATATTCAGCGTAAACTTCGTTGGCTGCCGTTGACATCGAACAAAATTTCACCACGAATGTGTAGCTTCAGTAAAATGCCATCGCTGAAATTCAAAGGAGATATTTTCTGAGCTCTGATTAGTGAATTTTTCATTGATGAAAACTTTACATTTCCAGCTGCATGCAAATTTTCATATTGCTTTTGCTTGATAATGACGATAATGGTAAGTCGATGTTTCTCCACTACCCAAAACAAATTTTGGTTCACTGATGAATTTGTTTTTTTTTTACGGGCAGATTAACGACAAGGAAATATTCGCTAATTTCACGCAAATTTTTCCTGGACTCTAGCGGAGAAAAGGCAAAAATTAATCTAGGACAAGTTCTAAGAAATCTTTATTCTACATAAATAAGGCGAAGTGAAGATTAAAATTACGCCATCCGGTGTGATTTTCAATTTTTCCGTTATTTCTCAGCGAAATAGATTTCTATGTATTTCGCCCAGGAATCTGCTTTGAAAGTTCAATGCATGTCAGTCAAGCATATTTGTCAGCACTCCAATGCTGGACTCCACTTCCAACTTATCATAGTCAAAATAATATTTCTATTCACTAAATTCAACATATATTATAATTTCTATAATATATCTATTTAATATTTAACTCAACATCGGACTTCGTTCCATCCCTATCTAGGATTGCAATATTTTGATCTATTTAAAAATATAACTCAATACTCACTGCAGTGAGTGACAGAGAGCACATTTTCTCGGTGAAGAAAACATGAAGTCATGGACAGACGGACGGACAGACGGACAGACAGACGGACATGACGAGCACAATAGGGTATTTTTTCCATAAATGAGAAAATGCGCTAAAAACTACAGCTCTCGTCCCAATTATATCCCAATTATATACCCAGAGTAATGAAGACAAGTTCAACTGTAATACAGATATCTACGAAGACAAGTTCAACTGTAATACAGATATCCACGAAGACAAGTTCAACTGTAATACGGATATCAACGAAGACAAGTTCAACTGTAATACGGATATTTGGCCCTAGATCGGTGCGAATCTGGCGTTCTCAGCGAATAATTTTGCTTGCCTGGTCTTGTGAATTATGGGCAATGAAGTTCCCAATGTTGAATTGACGCCTCAATTGGTGGCTGTCACTTCTACGTATATAGATCGCACTGATAACGATCGTTGTAGGTGCGAACCTGTCAATCATCGCTCACAAGCACCCAGCACTGCGCTCACGATATGGCAATTTACAGCAAAGTTCAGCAATAGTTCGCAGTCTCTTGATCAGAGTTACTACTTAGTTGCAGGACAGAAGTAAGATGTTGGCCGTGACTGGCGTCGTACGATTACTTGCTAGGAACACGATGGTAAGTAATAATGTGAAATGCAATTGAATTTTTAGCTCCGCTTCACTTTTTTCCAACATTTTTAAGATAATTTATTACCATGAAGACGAAATAAAATAATTGAACTGTTATCCTTTTCACAAGTTTAATTTTTGTTTATCCAACTCTGGATGTAACATATGGTTAATTTAGAACAAATATAGAAAAATATCAATGGATTGTTGTAAGGACTAATTCAATTTTGCAATAATTTCTATAAGATTAAAAAGTTAATTCTTTTCATTAAGCTACTAGCATATACATATATTTTTAAATTCTTAGCGAATTTGTCAGCGGTGTTATTACTGAATTGAAATTTGAATTAATTTACTAAATTAAATATGCCTTCGATTTATTAACAGTCGTTGAGAATTAGTTCATTTAATTTTGCAACATTAGCCTCTCTTCAATTGTTACTATAAATAATAATTTATTCATCGCGAGTTCCGCGTCCATTTCTCAATTTGATTACCCACTTCAATCGTACGTTTTCCGCCCACTGTTTCGCTACTTGTTGGGATTTTCTCTATCAAGTTAAGTTTTTCCGAGATTTTATAGTGAATTAGTATTGATGGAGTCCTAAAATAAGTTTCCGTTGCTACGTCTTGCTAAATTATTTTTTTTTCGCCTCGGGCCTCAACAACATAAATGGATTTCTGGCTTGTGGTGGGATTCTGTAATAAAATTTTACAGTAAATTTGTGGTTTGTACCACACTCAGTCACTTCCATATTTTTTCAGTCTAAAAGTGTACTCTCTTTTGAACAAATGCTGCACAACGAAACCTTTTACATAGAGTATTCATTTTTCAATGCGGCTGAGTTAGTATGAGAACAGTCTTGCGATCCCAACATTTCAAAAGTTTGAAAACTTAATCCATGCAGAGGGTGAGACTACTTTTTTTAATCCACTTATGTCATATTGTGTTCCCTGAACACGATACGTGTCACTCTAGCGGTAGTTTTTATTGCTTATAGAATAAATGATCATCCGCGGTCGCGTGGTAGACGTTAGTGACTTCCTGCCTGTCACGGTGAGGCCTCGGCTTCGCTGTGACCACGCGAATTAGTTTAAAAAAATTATTTCATGCAGTGGAGAATTGGCTTCAAAGAATTATTCCACGCGGAAGCGAATAGGCTTCAAAAAATTACTCCATGCAGTGCCGAATTGGTATAAAAAAATTTCTCCCTGCGGGGGCGAGTTGGCTGCAAAGAATTCCACCACGCAGTAAAGAATTTACTTCAAAAAAACTTACGTGCAGAGGCGAATTAGCTTAAAATGGCTCTATATGCATTGACGAACTGGCTGCATGAAATTCTCCATACGGATTTGTTCGTCACGTTTATTGCATTGTAGAACTGTGAAATATTCCGTAGAATTACATGTCGGGTTCTGACCAAATTGCAGTCACTGACAAAAGCTGATGTGCGAAAAATTGTATTAAATCCCTAAATGTATTTCGCTGAAGCAGGCTTTTGTTATGACCTTGCCTTCCAACAAACTAGTAATGCTGTGAAGTTTTTCATGTCATAAGCTATATAGATACAATTATTCATTTTATTTTCAACTTTTATACTTGATTGAGGTTTGCATATTGCTTGACGAAGCTTCGTTTTTTCGTGATTTGGTTTAATTCAAAGCTCATCGGAAGTGGTCCATATTCATCGAATGTAATCTGAAATTTATTGATAAAAAACATTAATACCCAGCAAGTGATTGATGTCTGTTCAGCATTAAGTCAATTCATATTGCGAGGTAAGTTCCCTATTATTAGGAAAATTTTCAGGAATGACGTTTATGCTGCTGATAGATGTAAGTCATTTCAAGCTTCTGCCACTTTCCTTCGGTGGCGCGATGCTATTTTGCAGAGCTATCATCCGCTATCAAAGAAATGAGTGGGTATTTCGAAAAGCGTTGCATCTTTTGCCATCGTGCCGGTAATTTCCGCCCTCTGCTCGTGTTTTCGGTGAGAAAGTGGGTCAACATTTGTACAACATGACCTATTTTTTGTATCAGAGCACATTCGTTGTTTCCTGACGCAGGTGTGATCGTCTTCGCCTCAGACCAGGAGGTGGCACAGGTCATGAAGGCCGTCATCCGCAAGAAAGAGACCAACACCTTCTCCTGGATCGGCTCCGATGGCTGGTCGGCTCGAGCTCTCGTTTTCGAAGGTATTTTTATGCGCTTTATTTGCTTTCTCTGCCGCAGATTGAAGTCCTGAGAACGAGCGCAAGTACGCCTCAAATTCCTGCGTGAAATTTAGTCTTTGGGTAGTTTGGTACTGTAAAAAAATGTAGTTTCTGCTGATATTTTGAGTAATTTTGGTTTTGAGAGATAAATTAGATCAAATTAATTGCTCAAAATATGATTTTGGTCATGCGAAACAAGAAAATTAAAGATACGTCTCTTGCGCGAAGGCTACATCGTCGTACGTATGACGAGCTGGTTGGTTTATTTTTTCGTGCCGTTGTCAAAGGAAAAGCTCGGTTTTTGCTCGGCAAAGTACGGGCCAGGATACATTAGACAATTAGGCTCAAAGTTAGCTCAAGAAATTCCCCGCTGGAGAAAAGAAAAATGTGAGTGTTTTTTTTCGAACAATAAGAAAAATGCCTCATAGTTTTACTTTACTACTAGTGAAGATGGAGCCGCTATTAAAACATCACTCGCTTTTTGGGAGCCTTTTAGACTGTACCTCATTCCGCGGGAGAAGTTCTTCTGCCATTAAGCAAGGCAGATGAAGCGGAGCTTCCCAACCTGTACGTAGGCTTTAACGAAGCCAAATGCCTCGCCAGATTGTGATCGATTGCTCTTCGCGTTATTTAAAAATATAAATTGGCAAAAAAACATAAAAATATTTTATTCTTATAAGCAGATTGGTGGAAAATAGTATGGTTTATCGGACTGATAACGGAAATGCAGTTTATTTCTCCACGTATGTTCCTCATTTTTTGCACTGTTGGCGTAATAACTATAATATGAGTTCAGTACGTGAAGCTTTCTCTCATAGTTCTGTATATGATGAACATATCCATCAAAAATATTGAGTTCATCTTTCACGTAATAATTGTTCAATATTTTTTATCAACATTAAATTTTATAGGTAAAATTTGCAGGGCTGAACAAAAAATTTATTACTTTTATTATCTCGTCAATTTTGATCCTGTGTAAACTCTTGTGACATAATGCATGTATGAAGAAACACATATGTGTTTAGTGAATTTAATTTACTTAAAGTTATGTTAGACTTGTTCTTTTATTCTAATTTTGGAAATCTTCATTCCATTATTGTTTCGCTATTTCAAACAAATTTGTATCCCTTGCGTACGCAGTTCAACAATTTTAGCAATATTCCCCTTCTCTCTCGTGCGCCAATGTTTTCTCTTGTATTGTATTTGTTTTCTTTTCCGTAGTTTTTTCCAGGTTTTAATTTTCAAACTCCGTCTATTTTCTGATAAATAAAGGCAATCCTTCCTTTCATTGAAACAGAACCTTCCATTAAGTTCCCTTCAAATAAACATGTATGCAATTCATGTTTCTCTCTTATTAATGCATTCTTTATTTTCTTAATTTAAATTTACCTCGTGGCATACATGTTGTAAATTCGATTATCGTATCGTAATATGCTTCTATTTTTTTTACAACACTTCTCTTTAACTTCACTTCTGCATGCATCTCTTCTCCAAAATAATTTTGCTGATTCGCATAACCAGTTTCCCCATCGTTAATGTAAACTAGTCGTTCCCTTTCCTACTCAGCTTCACTTATCCCACTAAACCCAAACCAATTTATTCACTGATATTTTTTCCTAAAAATTATTTATTTACAAATTTCATGCTATAAAATTGTCTTCTTTGCCTCGCACTCTGAGGTCATTTTCATTCCCATGAGCGGAATTGAGCGTCTCCCTCGCCTTGCCCTCACAGGTAATGAGGCGGTCGTGGAAGGCACCTTATCAGTCCAGCCACAAGCCAATGCAGTCAGGAACTTCAAAGAATACTTCACAAATCTTACCATCGAAACTAACACAAGGAATCCTTGGTTTTATGGTGAGACGCTCCGTTTATTGGTTCTATCTTATATTTGAAACTTGTTTTGTTTCAAGCTGCAGGTATGTCAGTTTACGCTTACATGTGTTCTCCTGTTTGTTCTGGAAATATATTCAGTGTTCGGGTTTAGGAACCGCAGAGTTCATTGAACTTTTATTTTAGCCACTGGAGGCATAATGCTTTAGAATTATTTATTCGACTTACTTTTTCTAATGAATTCATTAAATTGTCTGTGAAATTATACAAGCCCGTAAAAATTAAAGGTTAGAATTTCCACTCGCAAATCAGATCTATCTATCTTATTTACGCCCCAAATTGAAACGGCGAATAATTTTGTAAGTACCAGCAAGCTTTTTATAGACCAACAATTCAAAACACTAGTCCCATTTATTGGAAATCTGTTAATGTTCTTGACTCAATAATGTAAATCGGGTTAAAAATATGATGAAACAATTCCTGAGGAAATGGTGCGCTTTAACAAACTGGCAGGACAGATTTTCGTAGGGGGACCACTGCATTGGTCCCCCTGCGTAGTTTTCCCATCCATCGTCAGAAAGATTCCTCAACTGAGAACATATCAGTTGACGCTCACCAGTTCAGTCAGAGTGAAGGTTACACTCCACCATTCCAGCAGTGGAACGGTGTTTAAAATTATATTTATCCATGTTGTGCGCGACGGCCGAAGTTTAAAGCAATATATATTAAAACATATGTTTGTTTTGTTTAAAATTAGAAATTTTATTAAAATTTGGAACCAACTCAATAGTTGTTCCCATAATCATTAAAATTCATGCATAAGATATATGGTGAAATCTTTAAGTTCTTCCTTTTTTTAAATAGCTTCAAAGTTCACTATTCCATATTTTTGTCGCTCAAATGTTTGGTTAAAGCTTCTTCCAAAGCTTTATTTTCTAGACAGAAACAATTTATTTTGAATCATTTCGATGTGACATTTTTCTAACTCACCTGAAAACAATGTGTAGCCACAGCTATATTTTTCATTCTATAAATTTGTTTTAGAAAACATAAAGTTTAAATAGAATAAAATTGCTCGCACATTTTGAAGTGCTAAAGAAGTTCAGCGAAATTTCGGAGCTCTGGTCACACATAAACGACGCCTGTGCCAAGCTTGTAATCATGACTTTCCCTTCGAAACTTTGGTCTCAAAAGTCGTCAAGTCATTCCATGTAATTTCCTGCGGCTCAAATAATGGGTGTCATTTTAATTTACGAAGAACTTATTTTACTCTATGACAAAGGCGTTGTCTCTAGATTCTTTATACTGCTTCAATTGCAATATTCTGCTGGTTGAAGAAGAATTTTAACTATTTATTTGTTTATATTTTTTATTTTCTCTCGGTTTATTACAAATATGCCATCTTATTTTCTTAAGAAAACAAATCTTGCTAACTCATGAGATGCTCTGCAAATTACATTTATTACTCTTTGAACCTTGCTTCTATTGAAAAATATTTCTGGGCTAATTTTTTAACTACAAATCTCATTCGAGTGAAGACGTTTTCTATTAATAACACAAGTGAATTATTTGAAACGACAGTTTTTCAACAGATCAGAATTTTGCTTTCCCTTATAACTTAAGTATAAAAACTTGCATTGGTAATGCTTAACCTTGAGATTTCTATGAACAGAATATTGGGAAGATCCCTTCAAATGTAATTGCGTCAACAAGCCCTACACGCCCTACTCTTAACGTTGATATTTATTGAGCAGAATATTGGGAAGACCACTTCAAATGCAAGTACATCAACAAGCCCTACACGCCCTACAACAGGAACTACACCCGCAACTGCTCGGGCGACCATCTCTCCGCCACCGACACTCCCATCGAGGCTCAGCTGCAGTTCGTGAGCGACGCCGTAATGGCGTTCGCGTACGCCTTCAAGTGCGTAATATTTTTAGCGCATTTTCTCATTTATGGAGAAAATGCCCTGTTGTGCTCGTCATGTCCGTCTGTCTGTCCGTCTGTCTGTCCGTGACTTCACGTTTTCCTCTACGAGATAATGCGCTCTCTGTCACTCACTGCAGTGAGTACTGAGTTATATTTTTTCATCGTTCTGTTGTATTATCGGACCAAATACCTTAAGTAATGTTTTTCCTTAGTAATCTTAGTTATAATAATTCATATTCGCTACCTTATATAGAATCGAGGCTTGATCAGCTTCAGGTCTTATAACGACTTACTCTGACTTCAAGAGATATCGAATTTCACATCGAAAGAGAACGAATTCGTTATAAAGTTCTAACACGATGCACTTGCTTTAAACTCTCATTTTAAAACGAGGTGCCAGTAATGTAAACAAATGATAGATCACAGTAAAAATGCTTGGCCTAAGATAAATTTTGTTGCAAATGAAATATTTGCGACTCCGCTATCTAGGATTGTGTAAATACTGAAACTTGATTCAAAATTTACATTTTAAAATTTAGTGACGTCGAATGGCAGGCAGTACAATTATTGCAATTTGCTGAAAATCCCAGCTCGAAACATAAATTTCTTGTCAAATTCTTTTACTAAGTTTTTCTTGTGAATCTCATGCGGAGCCATCGCTTGAGATATGCATATTAGTACGTACGTACTACTAACAAATGCAAGCTGACAACCTTATTTATAAATAGTTATTGTCTCTTTGCTTCTTGCGATGCACTCGTGTGACCAATTATTTGGATGCTGATGTTTGCTCGATTCCTCACAACATCCCTCATTTTTTATGATGTAAAATAATATTTAATGCAACAGTTGAAGTTTTGGTCTGTGTAGATTAAACAATATGAGGTTGCTGTGACAAAAGGTATTGAAATAAAAATGCATCAATAATTCACTATAATTTCCTGCTCGGAATGAAGCTCGGCAATGTTATCCCCAGTGCAGAATAAGACGGCTTTCCTTTTATCATTCGATTTAATCTTCGAGGAATGCGAACTTTTTATAAAACTTTTCTCCAGATCTTCTTCTCCACAATGAGCACTCGTCTCTTCTTTTATCCCAGCTGAAGATCAAATAAATACTTCCACATTTCCACTGCATCATCCCGATCATTTCCACTTGCTTGACAAGTATTAGGCAATCTCAGGATAAATTGACCGCTCTATTCGCTTGTAAATAGATCCCGTTGCAGGAGATTGATCCGTGATTGATATGCTATTGCGTTGGTCTCATCGAATGCGTCGCCAGGATTGCTAGAGCGCGTCTGGCAGACGCTGTTGCCCTGCATGTCTCTTACGGCCACAACCTCGCACAATCTCCTTTTTATTTTCATTTCTGATCAAGTTTAATAATTATTATTATAATTAAAATTGATTAATAATAAGTTATTAAATTATTATATGAATAATAGCTAAATAGTTAAAATCTTCTTTATTTGAATGATCAATTGATTCTGGTCCGAGGTGAATTCCACTTTAAAATGACGTAATATACCGACATGTTTCATGGCATTAATCACCGTTGATGATTGTATATAGCTCATTAATACACAGTTAGAATGCAAACTACTCCTGAAATGGTCAGTAGTATTGATGATCGGGCAACTAGCAATAATAAATGTTAACTACTTGACTGATAATAAACAAAGACAAATTATATTTAGTTGTGTTAAGCAGTTCACGCTCCTGCATTAAGCATTGTCGAAGCAATTACGCGTCTGTCATTTCCTGCCTGCTTTTTCATGGAATCCGCGAAGACGTGACGTGCCAGTCAATATCGGAGTCGCTTTCTTACTCTTGACGTCGACGTTGCCGATCTCTGAAGAATTGAAAGTTTCATTGAAAGCGGCGCAAATTGGGCTATTGAGGGACAAATTGGTGGATTCTCCAAGGTGTTAGGCCGCTTATCGGAGCTGTATATGTAACGGATGTTGATAAGGAGGAATTTTACGACGGTAGATCAGAGGGACCTGATATGTCGTGTCAAGAATTATCTTCTGATTGAAGCTGGTTGTATTGTATCAGAATCAAAACTGTGCCTAATGTTTAATTGGATTAGACTCAAAACTACGGCTTATATTTAATTGTATTAGGCTCAAAACTGCTGCTACTACAAAACTACTGCTCTACTATAAAACTGCTATTAGGCTGCAAAACTGCTTAGGCTCAAAACTGCTGCTCTCATTGAATTATATTAAAAAATGCGCCTGCTGTTTAGATGGCAGATGCAGTATTATTATTTTAGACTCAAAACTGCGGCTACGGTTAAGTTGTATGAAAAGAAAAATCGCTACATCATTGACTCATGGTTGTAAGACATGAGTAAAGTGATAAGTTAAGATACTATTTTATTATTAATACTTTAATCCATAGCCGAAATTCCATGGTAAGGAGCAGCGTTACTGTAAAATTAAGATGATTAAAATAATCAGATCAATTGAATATATGCGAAAAATATGCGAATATATGCGAAAAAAACGAAAATTATTTCGTTACGTGCGAATGTGTTCGAAAATTGTGTAATACAAGGTCTTGTTTACATTTATGTAAACCAACCTTAAAGGTGATCAAGTTCGTGCGAAACGAACTCGGGAAGGATTATGTTACAAATTAAACTTCTTGTCTCCTCCGTACTCGATTAATTCATTATTAAGCTAGAATACCCGCCTCAAAATACACCGATCTGGAAGTAAATTTTTTATAATATGTTTTAAGAACAGGAAACCTAATTTTTCAGAGACTACCACACAAAATACTGCAACGGGACGCAGTTCAACAGCAAACCGTCGTCTGTTGGCAAGTGCAAGATCGACGGTGAGAAGCTCCTCGCCATCCTCAAGAATGTCAGCTTCACCGGTGAGCCCTGGATCTTGTGGTGAATTATTATGTTTAGTTTTACGTTTAATTTCTACTAAAAGAGGGTCATACAGACCGGTCTTTCACGCAATGATTTGTCATACAAGTTTTAATGATTGCGATGCAAGTTTCATCGATCACTCGGGTAAGTTTTAAAAATTATTCATAAAAGTTTCAATTTTCACATATAATTTTTAAGATTTCTAATAAAATTTCAATGATTGCTCATATAGGTTTCATTGATTACTCATCAAAGATTCAATGATTGCCCATACAATTTTCATTGATTACTCATCAAAGATTCAATGATTGCCCATATTCGTTTCAATGTGTACCCTTTCAAGTTTTACTCGTTGCTCATCGAAGTTCCACTGATTGCTCATTCAAGTTTTAATGAATGCCTTTCCAAGTTTCTCTGATTGGTCATGCAAGTTTCGTTCATTAATCATCCAAGGTTCTCTGATTAGCCATGCAAATTTAATTGATTGTTCACACAAATTTCACTGATTGTTCATTGAAATTTTAATTAATGACTAAACAGTAAACAAGTTACTCTGTTTGTCCAGGCAAGTTTCATTGATTGTTCATCCAAGTTTCACTGATTGATCATTACATTTAAGTTTTAATTAATGCCTAAACAAGTTACTCTGTTTGGCCATGAAAGGTTGGTTCATTGATTGTTCATACAAGTTTCTCCGATTTGCCATGCAAGTTTCATTGATTGTTCATTCAAATTTCTCTGATTGTCCATGCAATTTTCATTCATTATTCACACAAGTTTCCCTGATTGCTTCACGTCAGGTCTGAGCGGCGATCAGTTCCAGTTTGACGAGAACGGCGACGGCCCGGCGCGCTACCGCGTCATTCACTTCCGTCGCGTCACGCCGACGCGGTACGAGTGGGTCGAGGTCGGCTCATATTCTGGCGGCAAACTCAAGCTCGACATGGACAGTGAGTTGCACTACAGGAGGCCGTATTTTCACAAATCTCAAAAAATCATGTGCTTAACATGTCAATTTCAGATTTATGTTATTTCAACATCAATATTTCTCATGATAAAAAATTGTGCTCTGAATACTTAATTTCCGAATAAAGTGACTATCTTATAATCATTTTTTTTGCAAAGTGCAGGGCCGCACATAATTTATTTTCTCTCTTTCCAACAATAAAATTTAGGTGATATTTTTTTCACGCTGCAATTTATAACCTGAATATTTATTTACCTAAATATTTACTTATAACCTAAATTTAAATATTTTCTTGTAATATTATGGTCCAAATATCTCTACATTTTCAAGGCCAACATTACCTAGAAGTGATGACTATATTCCATGAGCGCCATATTGTATCGTATTGACAATCCCTGTCATGTCCGACGCCAGTGGTGAGGTTCCGGCCCAATGAGCGCATCCCTGGCAGCGTTTGCTCCGAGGAGTGCGAGCGCGGCATGGCCAAGAAGGAGGTGGAGGGCGAGAGCTGCTGCTGGCACTGTCTCAAGTGTACTGATTATCAGGTGAGTAACTGGCAACTGCTTGTATAAATGGCCAAGAAGGAGGTGGAGGGCGAGAGCTGCTGCTGGCACTGCCTCAAGTGCACTGATTATCAGGTGAGTAACTGGCAACTGCTTGTGTAAATGGCCAAGAAGGAGGTGGAGGGCGAGAGCTGCTGCTGGCACTGCCTCAAGTGCACAGATTATCAGGTGAGTAACTGGCAACTGCTTGGATAAATGGCCAAGAAGGAGGTGGAGGGCGAGAGCTGCTGCTGGCACTGTCTCAAGTGCACTGATTATCAGGTGAGCAGCCTGCAAGTTCTCGTAAAAACATAAAAATATATGCAGTTGATAACGGTGTAAAATCAGTGAATCGACACTAGTCAGGATTTTGTAGAAGAATGTCACGCAAAAAATGTGTTTATAAGGTTTTAGTGGCAATAACAAAATACAATGCTGAACATGCCCTTCAAGGAGAATTATTTATACATCATGAATGCGGGACTTTGACCGAAGACTTTAAAATGAACATACCCATTGAATAATTTATGGGCGTCATATCACTGTTGATTTACATAGAGTCAGCTTCTTCATTTATATGTATTAACAGCTAATATTGATACAAAAGTTAAAAAATACTGAGTGCCAGAAACTAACTTGATTAACAGTTAATTAACTAGAACAACAGTTATAAAGACCTAAACTCAATTATTTCTTTACCAATTGACGGTAAGGAATAATTCGCTGCAAGTAGCTACTGTGAAAAAAAAAATGGAACTAAAACTCCAGTAACGCAAGCTATCGGTTTAAGAACGTAGAGCCTTCTCAACTCACCACTCCTGTCACTGGTCCACCTTATGATTCAACGTTCCAAACTTTTAATCTGCGAGGATTTATTCTGGAATTGGCCAGAAGTATTCGAACAATGTTACGTGAACTCGAATAAATCCTCTTATTTCGTTAGAGCTGTCCGTGACAGAGTTAGTCCGCTCTACAAGCAACTTTTGGTAGCCCTTTTATTCAAGCTGCTTTTCTGCCCGATGATCATTGGGGCGATGAGGGATTTTCTCGGGGCCGATGGAAAGTTACCCTGTTGCTGGATGGAGCAAACATACCTGCTAAGTCTTTATTTTGGCAGATTCAATTGATCTAACTCAACCGAACTTAAGTGTTACGGAACGGGCGTTTCGAAATGAATGAGACCAGCATTGAAAGTCCCGACAGATTTGGCATTAAGTCATATTGTTCGCTGTTATTGTTTAACCCAAAGCTCAGGTGCAAATATTTCAGAGTCTAATTCTAAAACTAATATTCAGATAATTCGATTTTAAATTCCATTATGCAAATTATATTCAAGCGAGCAGATGAAACTTAGACTAGAAAAGAATATTAAAGTGATAATTCAATATATGAAGATTTATGATATATAATAAAATTTTGAATTTCTATTTCAATGGGGCGAATTTTTAATGATATACATGATGCATGCATTGTATCACGTTTTTGATACATTGTCATGTATCAAAAACAAAATTTTCATCATTGAAGTAAGATTTTACTATTATTGTAACTGTTTTGCGAGCGTTCAATTGATATTGAATAATATGGAAGAGAAATAGTGTCGCGGGCCGTCGCGACATACTCCTATCAAGTGACCAGGTGTAAATAAGCTGTACTCAAATCCGTATATTTACTAGAAACTAACTTACAAGATCAACTATTCCTATCAAGACACGCACAACAATGGGAATGGGTAAAGGAACGTGTTCTCGAGAGTCACAATTGGAGCTTTCCTATGGGTAGAACAAAATTCGGTAATACAAACAAACAAACAAAACCTCTTACATGTCACATATAAGCAGCATATATGAATCAGCACAATAAAATATGTAGTCATAATGTTGACGGACTCTTACCTCGCTGCGCCACGTATAAACGAACAATGCCGGTTTAGATTCAACGTTACAGCGAAGTCACGGCTGTGTATAGGTCTAACGCTAGAGGCACTACCATGATTACACAGGCGTCCGTTACAATAGAAAAAATGATAAAACAGATTCACCAAAGATACAATTTTCCAGACAGTTTTAAAATTTAATCAGTTACCTATTACAATTTCCTAAATGAGGTATTTCTGTTTCGAAACTCATTAACTCCAATCAACGAAATCATTAGTGGGCGTGCGAGCTAATTAAGTTAGACTTCATAATCGCTTCAAAACTTCACTATAATCTCATTAAATTCCACCGCAAATTTAGGGATGAATAATTAAGCGAGGCAGGTACACATTTTTCTCTTCAAATATTGCAAGGTTAAATGCAATTTTGTGAATTTAATTTGGAGTCAGAGAAAATATTTACAGCTGAATTAAATCATGAATATAAAATTATGTTAAATTCTGCCCGGCATTTCAATATAAAGCAAAAATATGTTCGCACTTTTATTGTTTGCAGCTATTTAATTCATCACAGTTTACCTGCACAACATTTATCAAAAATATTCATCTAATTGAAAATCATTTACTTATGAGTTGGAAAAAAATATTAGCCACACTGATATTTTTTAAGTCGGGTAGTCAATAGTACAATAATTCAAATAATATTTTCTAATATTGCTTAACATGATTCTAAAATGAATTAAAGTGTTAATCGTTTAAGGTTTCTGAAGTGACTGCTTTTTTGATGCATGACGCTATAGCTAAGAATATAATATTCCTGCTGTTGATTAGCATAAAAAACTTAACTTTGCACATGCGATCATTCCGTATGGTATTTTTTTCACGGTTTAAATAATATGGAACGCTCAGTGGAGCTTCACTGTGCCATTACTTAATGTGCTAAACTTGTAATTACTTGATTGTCTGAATTGCTTGCTTCATATATTGATTAGGTGATTGCTTGATTTGCTGTCTTTGATATTAGCAATCACTTGATTGTATGATTGCTTGATTTATAGATTGCAATTGCTTGATTGTCTGAATTGCTTGATCCATATATTGATTAGGTGATTGCTTGATTTGCTGTTTTTATTATTTGCAATTACTTGATTGTATGATTGCTTGATTTATTGATTGCAATTGCTTGATTGTCTGAATTGCTTGTTTCATATTTTGATTAGGTGATTGCTTGATTTTCTGTCTTTGTTATTAGCAATCACTTGATTGTATGATTGTTTGATTTATAGATTGCAATTGCTTGATTGTCTGCCCACCAGATTGTGGTTGACGATCGCTGTGACACCTGCCCTCAGTTCCAGCTGCCCTCGGCCGACCAGACGCAGTGCGTGCACATCCCGGAGGTAAGCCTGTGGTCCTCATAATTTACGGAGATTATGCTGCTGTCAAACATTTAAATTTCAGAGGTGAAGAAGAGACTCGAAGTATATTAGACAAAAACTATGGTTTTAATTGCATCAAATGAACTTTTTATTTCTAATTAATCATAAATTTTATCCAGTTAAATGTAAAGTAAATTTTGTTTTGCTTCGTCCAGAATACATCACGATACTTGAAAGGTTCACAATAAATGATCTCAATAGTAAGAGCTAAAATGTTTATAAAAATACTTATCACCTTATAACTTTTACCGTTACAAATATTTGAATTCTGATCTCTACGCCTCATGACGTCCGGCAAAAAAGATAAATTTTGTATTGGGAGCATATAATCTAAGATATTGTAACTGACATGAAAGAAAAATGTAACAGCCTTTCAAAAGCAAGTTAGTGATTCATTTAGCTGATCGGCCAGCCACCTATGTGATAAATGTTCGAATCACCTCAGTGTTCTTATCAGTGCAGGATATGAAATTAAAATTTCTATATCAATATTATTCCCGTTTAATGTGACTAATGTTATGTCAATGAAGCTATCTTAAAGTTCAGATCGCGTATAATTAATTTGGAGTACTCGAAAGAAGAAAGACAAGGCTTTGATAGCAAACTCTATCAATTCTGCGATGGGAAAATTGAATAAACTTTGAATTGCAAATCAGTTTTATTATTGTTAATGCAAACAGACAACTGAGCTTTCGGAGTGGGACGAATATTTTTTGGTGCATCTAAATCAAATGATGAGTAATTGAATTGTTTCGCTGCGTTCGTGGGCTGATTTTCCATGTTTATGCTCTTAAGAAAAAAAGAATATTAAACACGATTAGCATATTGGAATTATGCTAGAACTTATTAGAATGGAGTAGGTATGAAATTATGTCGCTAAAGTTACATTGATAATTGGAGAACGGAAGCAAAACCGTTAATGGACTACCGTCGGCTTTGAAATGACATAATAATAAAAAAAGACTTAATTGAAAAAATAATATGTTTTGTGTGAATGTTGGAAGACGCATTCCTAGTGCAACTCAATTCCGATTCTTTACTTAAGAGTAGAAATAAACTAAGAGTTAAACAATATGTCAAGCAAATTCGTTTACCTTTTCAGCAGGAAATTTTGATATTATGAAATTTTTCTTGCTCCATCATCACTATCATTTTTTTCTGCTAAATTTCAGCTGATATTTTACGCTCCAGTCATGCCGAATTCTCAATTTCGCAGGCTTGCTTTCATTTTATCAAACTTTCATTTTTATTTTTACTTACACATTATTTGACAATGATGTGAGACTCGAAGCAAGTCTGACTCATATTCGCAAAAGAACATTTCAGTGCTAAAATTAACTAGATATCAAAGCATTACATGTGCAGTGCTATTTTAATTGGCGCTCGTATCAACAAAAACAATCTAATATTTTCTGATGGGAAATGTACACAAAAAATGCTTAAATATTACGATTCTTCAAACGAGATACGGAATTTCAGTCGATCTTGCGGCTGCCAATTAAATTTAGTTAGAACATCAATTAACCTAAAGTGAATTGAAAAATTATTTACGAAATTTAAATCTGATGAAACAGTATGAGCACGAAAATATTTGAATACATTTAAAGAGGTTGAGTTTCAATTAATGGATTATTTTTCGAGCAGTTGTTTATGTCAATGCAAATAAATTTTCAACAGATAAAACCATGATTCATTTTACTGTGCGATATTAGAACATTCATCGAAAGATTTAGCCTGCAAATCTATAAGATTTATTTCTACAATAATAAACGTCGTATTATTTATTCTAATTACAAATTGACATTGCCGTTCTCACAAGATCATCCAGGTGATGCTGGCCGCCAAAGAAAAGAAATATCTTCATTCGATTAGATTATGATTATTTTGTGTATTTAATCCATTGCATCTAACGTCTTTTGCTCCGAATCGTACGTAATAAAATTCTTGTACATTTTCAAATCAATTTCAATGTACAATTCGCCGTTTAGTTATTTTCACAATCGTTCTGAACTGTATATGCCACATAAAATAGTAATCAAACGACAGTTGATTACTAAAATATTAAACAGTTGATTACTAAAATATTTTACTAAAGTAAAATATTGAATATTTAATTAAATAATTGATCATAGAATGAATTGATGAATGAATTGATCTGAATGTTTAATTATCTTAAATTCAATTACCTTTTTTGACGTGATGAATTGAACAAAATATATCCTTTAGTTGTATTTTAAGTCATTCTGAATCCCTTCACTCATAAGGAAGCGAAGGTAAGAGAATAATTAATGTCATGCCAAATTTGACGAGAAAAAGATGGCGTCGATATCAGGAGGGACAAATGGCGAGAGTGTCCGCCGCCTCGATGGACATATTGTTTATTCCGCGCCACTGTCCTCTGTCCATTACGATGGAAATTGTCCATCGTAACGGACAATTTCCTGGAAATTTCATTTAGTTCTGCCGGTAGACCAGAGTCCCGGCAAGCCACTGCCTGTCAGGTGATGGATCATGAGCCCTGTAATACTGAAATATTTATTTGAAACACGCAACTTGACACAGAATAATGAATGTTGTTCTCCCATGACACCAGGAGCCTAATATTTATACGAAAGGCTTTTTATAAATGAATTTTGCATAAAACAAATTATTATGCGTCCAAATATTGTAGTGAATAAATATCAACAGGCAGAATTTGTATTTCAATTAAAGACTTGTTATATTGGGTTGGTATGAACTGACTACTTCAAATTTTTCATGATGAGTAGACAAGTGACTTTCACAAATATAGTTCTATATTTCTCACTAGCAGCCAAATAAATTAAACTTAATCGGTTGCAAACAATTCTAAGGTGATTCGTTTTTGCGTCGAGTTTTCAGATACTAAAACCTTTTGAGAAAATAATAATATTGCACTAAATGACATCATTGCGAGAATATGATTTCAGTTGCTTTCTTATATACAGACTTTTTGCCCTAGCCAGACCGAAATAAAATTTTAGTGATCATTAACAGTTGATTAACAGTTGATTTTCGACGTTATAAAAAAAAATTACACACATCTTGAGTTTGCCCGAAATTCACCTTGATATATATTTGTTGAAGGCTCTAGAATAAGTTGAATTTGTTAAAGCAGATATACGAGACCGTCCGAGCAGTGCAGTTCTGCGAGACATTCCGTCATTCAGGACAGCGGCTGGAAAATATACACCCCACGCCCCCCCCCCTGTTAATTTGGGCGGCCTGAGTTTGCGTCACTATAGGGGTTACTCTTTTGATCTCGCATTCCTTTAAGCATTTAATAATTTACTTTTTACTCCCTGGAAAATTTGAAATTTATTTTAGTGAATTATAAGGCACTTTTCACCCAGTGTTAATGTTTGCGGGGATATTGAACATTTCTCATCATTACCAGCGCCCTCGCATTGAAATATTGAGCTCGATGTGCGGCAATTAATGGCGTTAAAATGACGAACATTCAGCTTGGATATAACGCAGTGCTGCTGCACCTGCATGTGTCTTATAGTGCGTGTTGGTTTTGCGTATGTTTATTGAGACATTCAAGCGATCCCTAGAGCTCATTGTTGAATGGAATGAATATCAAACGGCGAATTCAAAATTAATTGTTAATTTCGAATAATCAGTGTTGACCCTTGAGGCTCAGAATTTATGATCTTAATAACAAGAAAAAATCTGTATTTATTTTTTGCAGTCTTTATTTTTTTCTTTTTCACAATTTTCTTCACTGACGATGAAGCTAATAACTGCATTACAGAGCATCAATCGGTCGCTATAAGATGGTTAGGGTCGAAACTTTTCCCTCAGGCAAATTGTTGTTACTTCTTCATTTTCACTTTATCCAAAAATTAATTACATAATTCTAATTGATGCCTATAGTTTGCATGGCGTCTGCTCTTTTAACTTTGTTTAACTTTAGTCTTGGGCGTTTGCTCTTTTAACTCAAAGTCATCCGGTGTAAACTATTGATGAACTGGTGCTTTAATGAACAAGATGAATATGACAAGAATCATTAAGCTAAATTTTCCCAATCTCCTGTTTCTAATCAAGCGATTCATATTCATACAATCAGTAATCGTCTAAGTTATTTAACAAACATGGAACAATCCCTTGAAATTGTTTCGTGAATCTTTTTAAACTACAGCCATTGAAGTGTTGGCAAGAGCACAGGTCATCGTTCATTTAAAATGTAATCCTTTTGAGTGACGCTTGTTAACGAGGATATAAATTTTCTGGACATTGTTTTCGCTGTGCAGGCAAGCCTTGACTCAGGTATTCATGAGACCATTCATCGTGTATACTGAGATCCTACAAGGACTGGCAGGATAGATGAACTTTCCTAAAAGAGTTCTAAGCTGAAATGTAATTCGGAAAACGAATCGTCCGAACTGTTGATATTTTTTTATTTAATTCTATTCTCTCATGGTTGAGCAATTATTTTATCCATGAAATACTCAGTTATCCCGCTTTACTTCTCTACGGATAATATATATTGACTAAAAAGATTGTCTGAATTTCCAATGACACCTAAATTATGTAGCAAAAATAACTATACTTTTTACAACACTTCTCTTTAACTTCACTTCTTGCTTGCTTGTCTGCTACTAATCTTATAATCGATATTAAGCGCACTTATACCTCTCCAATCAATCTGAAAATTTGCACACTCGCGAAAAGTTGGAGACAATGCCTGAATCGATTGAGAGAAGAAATAATTGTAAAAATTTAAAACATTTTTAATATAAAAATTTTAAAAAATAATTTCGTCTCATACAATTCCTTTAATCAATATTTAACTCACTTCTACCTGACCAATCGATCTGAAATTTTGCACACTGCGTAAATTCGGAGACAATGCACGAATCAATTGACCTAATAAGTAATTTTAAAAATTTTATTGTCTTATTTATTTAAAAAATTTAAAATTAATTTTTTTAATATTTGAAAATAAATTAGAAATTCATTATATATGTGTAACATCGGAGGAAGTGTTGGATTCTTTAGAAGTGTTATCTTTAAAAAGTAATTTTTAAACGCATTTTATTATTCAACAATGAATCTTTTTTACTTACAATATTCTCTATTCTTTATTCACGCAGGAGCATACAAAAAAATCATAACAAGAAAATATCGAAAATTTTTAGCAGAAAAAAAAATAAATAACTCTGCAGATGTCGCAGTATGTGATTAAGTTTCATGAATCAATAATTTGAAAGGAAGTAATTACCGAGTATCCATGTTCATGAATAGTTCGCCACAAAATAGAACTTATATATAGATAAAAATAGAAAATTTGATGCAATATAATTAAAGCAAATTCAGTAAAGAAGTTTATTAGAGGGTAATATTTTAGAGAGTGGACTTGTGTGGCACAATATAATAATATGCGTTTAAGAATGACTTTTTTAAAGACAGCACTTCTGAAGAATGCAGTGTCTAGGATGTTACACATGCACAATTAATTTCTAATTTTATTTTCAGATATTCAGAAAATTAATTTTAAATTTTTTATTATATAAAATAATTAAATTTTCAAAATTACTTATTGTGTAAATTGATTCATCATTGTCTCCGACTTTACGCAAGTGTGCAAAATTTCAGATCGATTGGACAGGAAGAAGTGTGTTAAATAACGATTGAGAGATTTTGGCAGACAAAATTATTTTTCAAATTTTTTACCAATAAAAACGAAATTTTTTATAATTATTTATTATGTCAATTGATTCATGCATTGTTTCCAACTTTACGCAAGTGTGTAAAATTTCAGATCGATTGCAAAGGTAAAAGTGTGTTTAATATCGATTATAAGATTTATAGCAGACAAACAAACAAACAAAAAACAAGAAGTGAACTTAAAGAAAAGTGCTGTAAAAAGTGGGGATGCGCTGTGACGTTTAATCAATCTTCTCTCAAACTTGATTGTAGAAATTCAACATTGCCGAATGATAGCTGGGAAATGAATTACGTCTTTCTCACACAAAAATACTCACTGGGTCGCAAAAAGTTCCTTGAGATTGCGTGTTATCTTCAAACGAAGCCATGCGCTGTAGACCCAGATTGCTCTTCTGACAGTGATCGACGCTGCAAATTCGAGTTTGACATGCAATTTTTACATGACATAATCGGGCATGAAGTGACTTTATACGCTGCCTGTTATGACCAAGTTTTGTGATGATATTGTCGTACGGGGCTGTGAAGGCTTGACATGATCAAAAGGCTCGTTTTTCATATAATCGTATTGCTTTTGTGAGATTTCATTTGTTTATATTTTTTGGGGTTTGTAAAGTCGAAATTATGTTAGATATTTTGATAGCCCAATATTTCTTTGTTCGCTCGGAATTTCGGTGTCAATGCGTTTTCGTAGACAGTATACCGCCCGTAGCTCTTATTTCCAGCCGAAATCGATTTTCACGATGGCAAACTTTTAACGTTGCAAGTGACAAAATAAATTCGATGGTCAACCTTTGGGGAGCTTGAAATTTTTGAGTGAAATAAAGTAAATAATTAGTGTAAATCAGTTTTGTATCCTCGACGACTGACTAATTATTATAACAAGATCTTTTGGAGTCAGATCAAGCAGAAGAGTTTAACTCGTTGTGAACACCGGAATTGCGAACTGAGGTCGGGTAGATCCTGCATAGCAATCCAAGATTCAACAGCTTTCATTTGAAACGCCAAAAAAATTCAAGAAATTTAATAACTGTTTCTGCAAATAACCTAAATTTGTATGTGTTTTTTTTAATTCTTTTTACGCAACCAATTTAAAAGTTTTAAATGGATTTCTCTTGATTACGGATGATGAAGAAATTTGCAAGGCAGGCAAGTAAATGAATATATAATGTTTCCAGGGCTGACAAATCCTATTTTTCAGCCATTGAATTTTATTTACGAAATTTTGCACATGAATCTCGAGTTACAGGCTCGTAAAAATATTTGAAAAAGCTCAAATTTTTCCTGAAAGGTAGTAGGTTTTTTCGGCTACAAAATTTAGTCCAACTTCCAAAAAATTCTTAATCATAGTCGTTAAACTTGAATGCTTGGTCACATTCTTTCCCAGACTTTAACATTTCCCGAATGTAATAAAGAAGGTGGATAAATGCATCTCAATTTTGCCACGCAGCCATCATCTTGATCTGCACGATCTACGCCTGGAAGACGCGCAAGATCCCCGAGTCTTTCAACGAGAGCAAATACATCGGCTTCACGATGTACACGACGTGTGTGCTGTGGATAGCATTCCTGCCCATCTACTACTCCACCAGCAACGATAACTTGGTCAGCTCAAGGATACGCAGATATTATGAATAATTTCCCGAAAAATGTGGAACTTGTCAGTTCCATTGTTTGTTTTAGAGCATTGATATTTTTTTATTTTGCTTGGACTCTTCAATTTTGGTGCTAGTGTGTCCTCATTCTTCTCTAGGCGGAGATTGGAGGAGATTACTTTACTAATGTAAATATTAATTCAAATATGGCTAACACCATTTACCTCTTCAATTTACATATCTCTACAATTGCACGCTTTTCATCATGTGCTACAGATGCGCACAACCACGATAGCGGTGACAACCAACATGTCTGCCACGGTTGCCCTGGTGTTTCTTTTCCTGCCCAAGTGCCACATCATCCTGCTACATCCTGAGAGAAATCAACGAGTTTCCAGCTTCGGAGCTCCGCGGTTACACTCAATGAAGAACCAGCATCACAACACCATCCTGGCGCACGCCAAGGTGCAGCGTGTCGACATGTCTACGCAAAGCGACAGTGAGAATTTAATATTGTGTCGAAAATATAATTTTGTGTGATAAATCAACATGACTGTTTAATTACATCTGTCACTATTTTTAATTGAAGTGTGAATTTCAACGCCCATTTTTAATGTATTAAAATTCACCAATGATGAAATTCAATACTCGCAATAAATTCAAAGTATCATCCAATATCCCAAACCATAGGAATTTCATCATACGCATCGCTAGGTTTCATATTCGATTGAATGTCAGTAGGTGTACAGTGGCTGTTATTGTTGTGTTTACACAAATGAGCGTAAAATTACGAGTTATCTACAATACCATTCTTATTATGGCTTTGTAATGATGCATATTTTTTTACACACTTATAGCGTTAAAATGAAAAAGAGTTGTTGATTTGTTACATAAAACAGATTAGGAATTGTTGTCAAATTAAAGACCGTTGAACTTCAGTCGTACAATAAATTCTTAAATTATTACTTTTTTCAACGTTTCATAACATCTAAAATCCTCCATTTATCTTAAGTTCCATTCACTTTAATGCGAAAAGTATTGAATTTAACTTCCAATACTGATCTCTGTGCTTATTAAATTGAAAGACCACTATAGATTTAATGAAACTACCCTCAATGCATCAGTTAAAGGACACAAAAATTTTCAGTAGGAGCTCCGCTGGCCTAACATTTTCACACACGACTTCCCTTGTAACTATTACGTAGACAGGATACCTGAGACTATAAATTATTCAGTGAAGACAAGCAAGGAGAAGTTGAAGACTGTTTCCTGTAGGCCGTTCTTTAGGCTGAGACACGTGGGAAATTTACGGAGGACGAGTGCCGCTTCTTTCAGTTTAGTGGCCCGAATTTATGTCGCCACGAAGATTGCCTAACATTGAACGCTAGGTGTTCTCAAATTCATTCATGCTATGTATGATGTTTTTGGGTCAAAACATCAGTATGATGTTTAATTGTGTAGACGGGACCTATTTAAGAATCAGCTATATAGACTTCTGGTTCATTGCATACATTCAAACTCATTCATAGCATAACATATACTTTTTATTCATCAGAAGGTAATTTCGAAATATGTTTCTTAGCTGCCATGGAGCCGAAATAAAAATTTCATACATTCAATTGGACTTGGTAAAAGTTGCTATATGCTGCGATGAGTAAAGCAGAATATCAACGGCAGCAGAGAAGTGGATGCAAAAAAGATTTTTCTCAAAACGAACCCCTTCCAGCGTTCGTTTTTTACACCGTTAGTAGAATATGCAAAAGATATTCCGGTATTTGAAAATACGAAATTAAATTCGCGGCTTCTGGACTTCATGCAGTTAGGAGCTTCAACAATAAACCTTTTTAGTTTTGGTCATCACATATAATAACCAAAACGCAATTAATCGTCTATTTAAACCGATACATTAATCGTTTTAAAAACGAAGTTCAGTTTAGAGATTATCACTGCCGTTGTGTGTCTGAGAATTAAAAAGATAACAGAAACTCCATGTAATGGAGCAAGCACTCAAAATATATCACGATTTGGTATACATAAGCGTTTCTGAATATCTCCCTTTAAAAAGCTAGCCAGTTCTTTCAGCGAATAGTTTCCACTCAATAATACATGTTTTCATTCGATACTTATTACCTTCATAATAAACTTATTTGTCGACCTTTCTTCGTTTCAGCGACCTTGCTAGTTCTTTCAGCAAATAACTTCCACTCAGTAATACATATTTTCATTCGATACTCATTATTTTCATATTAAACATATTTCACGCCCTAAATACCATTTGTTCACGCCCCTCAGACACATACTACCCGACGTTCGAGATGCAAGAGCGGCTTGTAGCGCAGCCCCGCGGCCGCGATATCGCCGACCTCGCGACAGCCGCGACGCAGACCTGCTTCGTGTGCCGCTCCGAGGACCACAACTGCCCGCACTCAGCGACGCAGACCTGCTTCGTGTGCCGCTCCGAGGACCACAAGTGCCCGCACTCACACCTGCTGCCTGCCGAGGGACTGACCTCATCTCTGCGGCGCAGGATACGAGAGCGTACGCAGGTTATTGAGAGGGAGGAACTCTACGACGAGAACTCCTTCATGGACAACTCGGACGGCAGTCCTATTCCGTACAAACTTCAGGAAGATGAGTCTTCTCCTGATAATGATAGAAGTATTGGTTATGAAGACCATTGTTCCAGATCTCTCAATGGAAGTTCGGGTAGTTATACCAACACAGTTGTAGCTAATACCGCAAACCTTCCTTCTAACAATCACTGCACAACATCTGGCAATCTTCAGGGAAGTGTAATTAGTAATGATACAACAGGGGTTATTGAAAGCTGTATTGCTACGGTCAATAATAACAGTTTCAGCAGCAGCGCCGTTAACAGCAACACTGGTGGCCAGCATATCAGCAGTAACGGGCCTCTACAAGACGTGCCTGATGTGATGTTGTAGTGGTTAAGTGATACACCAGGCGTTCTGGTGTAGTGCATCATACACCAGGCGTTCTGGTGTAGTGCATCATACACCAGGCGTTCTGGTGTAGTGCATCATACACCAGGGGTTCTGGTGTAGTGCATCATTCACAAGGCGTTCTGGTGTAGGGTATCATACACCAGGGGTTCTGGTGTAGTGCATCATACACCAGGAGTTCTGGTGTAGTGCATCATACACCAGGAGTTCTGGTGTAGTGCATCATATACCAGGAGTTCTGGTGCAGTGCATCATACACCAGGAGTTCTGGTGTAATGCATCATACACCAGGAGTTCTGGTGTAGTTTATCATGCCTTGCACATAACATGACCTGGTATAACCATAGACTCAAAATAGTGTATCCAATAAATGGTATCCCTGCTGTCCTTACAATTGATATTGTATATTTCTTTGTATTATATGCGTACAATTTATGACCAGAGAGTGCATTTGAATTTTCAAGGAGTTGAACAATTCTTAGATGACGTTGGTAGATCAAAAGGCAGATTTAGCAAATAATAATATATTAATTATTATTATTTATTTATTATTATGTAGTTCAAATATATTATTTGAACTACATTGGAGGAATTGGACTAACAACTGCGACATTGAGTATTATAAACAAGCAGCTTCATCTCAAGTTCATTGATGAATTCAATATGCTTGACGACACCCTTGACAACAACGTCAAACTCCGGACTATACGAAACAATGGCCCCTGCCAAAAAGCTCACTATACGAAACAATGGCCCCTGCCAAAAAGCTCAAGTTCTCAAAGAGGCCAGTGTAGTTCATAAATTTTGCTTCAAAGAAGGTTGTAGACTTCTTCATCATTTGGACTACATTGGAGTATTTGGACTAACAACCACGACATTGAGACCGTCTCACCTGTCATCTTCAACTTGGAGGGCAGAGAAGCCCCCTGAGACAAACTCACAAGACTGTCGCTCGCACCGTGCTGGAGAAAACCACCAGCGTCATCATGCGGAGGTGCACAACATTAATCGACCAACGATTGCTGGAACCGTCTCAATTTTGAATTGGACCCCAGCTATCGATTTCCAAGCTACCGGATTTGTCTAAAATAAAATTTGAGATTGTTTGCGTAAGGACTTTCTGGCTCGAAATTTTTGTGGTGTATCCTATTTACGTGTATTATGTACTTATGCCCAACCAAATTTCACTATTCAATGCTTCTCTTAACTTGAAAATGAATGTTGCTACATTCGAAACGTCGTTAATATATTATTACTTGCTAAATCTGCCTTTTGATCTACCAACGTCATCTAAGAATTGTTCAACTCCTTGAAAATTCAAATGCACTCTCTGGTCATAAATTGTACGCATATAATCAAGAAATTTCTGCCATCTTATAATAATTTCTTTGTATTATGTGTCCATGGGAGAAATTTTGTACCAAATAGTCACTTTAAAGCTGTGAAATTAATTAATTCTATTTCAGTTGAAACGTATTCATATCACCGCTCACATCAGTAGTGATAGATTTGGTCGGAGCTACAATCAACCTACATATACGATCAAAGATTGTTTAGCCCGCCAGGTTTACGAGTACCATAGTAATGAATATATGTGATCCATTGCCACATTCTGAAGAACTATTTTGTATCAACTATTAATATTAATTAAAGAAAATGCAAAGATGTTTTCTCCGTAATTTGAGCATATCTTGTGAGTAAACCTCAGGAGTGAAAATTAAGTAGAATATTCAAGCTCTAAATTTGAGGCCTTTGAAAATAGATAATAAACAAAACAAATAAGAAAACTGTACGGAATGCTCGAGTCTGGCAAACTAACATTAACTAATAAAGATTTGCTGCACTATAACCGATATATATCCCCTAGGCATCCCTGTGTTTATAGAACAAAGCCTTTCTCTCCACTGTCCAACACCACAGCTCATGATACAGCTCATGGAACAGCAATACCACAGCTCATGATACAGCTCATGGAACAGCAATACCATAGCTCATGATACGAGAACCACGAACAGTTCTTACTCTTTGCAACTATTTTCCAAAAGTACGCGCTATTTTATAAAATTATTCTCGTAAGTGAAAACTAGTGGAAATACATTCAATTGATTTTTCAATATTACTCAGACACTCTACCATGCATCAGTTCGTGCGATAACTTATTAGAACAATTCTTAAATGAAACGATTGGATAAATTCCGAAGATGAACCATAAACCGAAATTATCGTTGAAAACTCAAAAAGACAAACCATACAAGAAATAAATAGTGAAATCTAATTTATTAATAACTCGTGAAATTCTGAGACATTCATGAGTCACAGAAAGTCTTGTACAATATTTGTAAAAAAATGGTTACCCTTGAATACGAATTAGTCTTAATGACCCTACTTGCGTTAACTGATATCAGTCTAATTGTTTCAAATAATTTTTCAACTGCTGCCTAATTCAGCGTGCTTAGATGATACAGCTGAATGTTATTTCTTCTAATCGATTAGGTACAATTTGCTTGAATAAAATACTTTAAATTCTGCGTAAGTAATCGTTCCCTACTCCACAAGCTCAATGTTATTCCATCTATACGAAGCAACGAGGAAATGTTTGCAATAATCTCTTCACAATTTTCGCAGCAATCAGCCGCCAGTTAATTAGGTTCGGGCTTAAATTATAAAATTTTCCGCACTCTTAAACAAGGGACCTACGTTTCATTGTTACTTCATTATGAAGTTGGTGGAGACCAAGTAATTTTATCATACATATGACATTTTCAAAAAATTATATTGCTTCTCTCGACACTGGGACCTCTAAAAGATTCTGTAAAACAGGAAAACTAATTTGTTTTCTGCAGATTTGGTTATCGAAAATACATCAATCAATAAATGAACTTATAGCTTTCATATTCTAGAATGAGGGGGTAAAAACTAACAAACTAACAGAAGCTCATTTTCATCGAATGAAATACTTAAATTGACCAAGAAATAGTTTGATGGATCATTACAATTTTTTTTAAATGGATGGAAATTGAGCTTGCAGGTTATTAAATACCAAGGTAGCGGCTACATGTGGAAGGTAATCACAGTCACCTCCCTGGCTTCGTAATGTTTGGGGAAACTGAATGCGTCCTGGTATCAATGAAGCATTGCTGTCCAGTTCTCATTCCATTCTAATTTCACAGAGCACATGTTAATCCGCCACCAAAATTTAGATTCCAATTCCTAGAAAAAATCAATCTGTTATGTTTTCCCCTCATGAATTTTCAGAAAAAAATAGTGATTTAAGAAAAATTCAATGCTTCAACGATACAGTGAGTAATCAATTTACTTAATTTGCTTCCAGATTCCCAAACTTATTAGTTTATTTTTGTCTCCTAGATCAAAAAGGCCTAATCAATCATTGGGTATTGATTGATTAAAAGGACATCAATTAAAGTGAGGAGAGCTATTCAATTTAGCGACAAGGCCTAAAAACTGCCTTAGCATAATGAGTTTTCAGGGCATCCTACCACCACGTAGTCTATACTCTAAGGTGGAGACAGTAGCTATGAAGAATAACAATTGTTTAGTATTACACGTTACCCAAACGGCGTTAATGCAAGGCATAGCAAACTAGTGTCATCCACGCGGTAACCTCCTCCCAGTTGATGCAAAATTTTAATCATTGACAATGATTACCATTTGTTCTATTTTGTGTCAATATGTTGCCGAGTCCTATAGATAAAGTATATATTTTTAATCAGCATTGAGTAGCTTTATTGATATAAAAGGCGAGAAATGCATCGCTAAAAACGTCCAGATTGGATTCAATAAGTTGTTACCAGAAAATAAGTCATATACCAAAAATAAGATATAATACGAGATGTTAATAATTTTTTAATTTGTCTTAATGCATAAAACATCAAATCAAAAATAAACTTTTTATAAAAAAACTATCAATATCATTTCGATTATTCTGACTCATTATGAAATAATCATTCTATTTATTATGAATCGTTCGTAATCAACACAAAAGGTATTTCATAGCCTGAAATTTTTATACATGCAAAAAATCATTTTCGCGATATATCCGTTCTCATTTATTGCCGTAGTCTGAACCTTTATCCCATAATTTAGAAAACTTTCCTATGTTTCCCTCCTTCCTATGAATCCATGAGCTCAATGTGAAGTGCTTGGACTTACTACAAGTAAAAATAAATTATTAATTAATTTAATTCGCAGTGATGAGTGTAAAAATATTATTTGTTTTGTAAGTATTCGTAATTGGAGGAGCAAATATGTATGCATAGAAGTCATACATGATATCTAATGCTATTTTTTTATTCTCCTGAACGTGCTTGGTGATGCTATCATATACCAAAACGATATCACTATTCAAAAGATATTGTATAGGAGGATAGATGATACTTCCGGTAGACCAAAGTATCAATCATTATTCATCTTTACTATATATGCCAATAGGTTATTGAATATCTATATGATCGTAGCATGAAGTGAGCGCTGTGCGCGACGTGAGTATATAGCATCTATAGAGTAAGAGTAGTAATGAGAAGAATGCCCTAGCTACCTACCAGGCTTAAGAATATTGCAGACTTTGTTCTTATATTTATGCATATTTGGAAGGACGAAACGCTGCACACTCTACCACATGTACAGCAAAATAAACATCGTTTACATACTTCAAAGGAGATCATTTGATTTAAACTGTTTGATCTTCTGTGTGTCACCGAATCATTTTTCCTTCAATTTTAACATCCATGTCAGTGGGTATTTGATACATACGTCGATCATTTATTCAGAAGCTGGCATGCGGAATGATTTAATATTTTTATCGTGCATGATTTCCATTCCAGTTGTGTGTTGTAGTTCGTGCCTTCTTAGTTACAATTCTCTGGATCCAGCGTGTAACCCTCAACACCCATTGTTTGGACCAATAAACTTGATATTTCCGTACAAATCTTTATGAATGATTAGTAGGAACACCAAGGACTTAA